TTTGAAGCTGCGAAAATATGTGGTCGAGTATCTGCTCTTTCCATTTTTGTTGTTGACCTAATGCACAATTCAACTTAGCAAGAAAATTGCCAAAGTAATTTCAACAGAGGCAATACCAATGGACTTGGTTCAGATGTGTGCCTTTCAAGAATCACATGACTTACAAGTGTTGGGCTTGTAGTTGTAGGATTAAATGTATTTCCAGTGAAGCACAGAAACATCCTGGACTGTTTTTGGCATACTGGGATGCATCTCTGTACGAGATGGTGGATTTTAGGCTTTGTTGTATCTTGCATTCAAGTACTAAAAAGACCAGCAGAATATCTATTGATTACATAAGGATTGCATGAAATGCTAAAATGAAGCAGGTGCTGATGCATTCTGTTGCTAAATAATAGCATTCATGGTCTCATCAAATCAACATCTTATGACACACCTGTTCAGTACAATGATATTACTTGCTTCATCTTGGTAGTCTAAGAATGTTGTATGTATGAGTTCTTTGAAAAGTGAATGCTCTGACACTGTTCGATTAACACATTCTGCCAGTGGGAATTCCAGTGCCATTGCATCATGTCGCATTCTGCAGCGAATGGGTTATGGTTTTGTGGCTTTGGGTTGTTTGATTCTGGGAACACTCAGTGGGAGCTCATAAATGGCATTTTGCATTGCAGTGAGCCATTCCTTTGGCTACGGTTTGATGGATGCCCATGGAATGGTGAAACTGTCTCGAACATGGAAGACTGTTCCCATCCAGGAGAGGTGTGAGATCCCAGCATCACATATCAACAAGCTGATCCCGTCCAAGAGTCAAGTGACACTCCCTCTTGAGGTCAAGCAATCTGACTGCCCCAATATCAACTTTCTTGAGCATGTCCAGGTGCGTTTTGTTCCTCCCAGGTCACAGAAGGTCTTCTTACTCTTCCACTTTCTACCATGCATTTGGAAATGAAAAAAAATTTTTTTTCCACATATCTGACATTTGGATCAGTAAGCTCTTGGAGAATTGCATCAGGGAGTGCATCATTTCTACTCTTCTTATTCCCAATGTTCATATACATATTTCTCTTTTGGAGCTTGATTCATTCTCTTTTATGAACAGGATGTTATTTCTAACCCCTTTTTTTAAAACTTGAATCTGGGTGGGCTTACCTTCCTCTGACCAGGACTTACCTAGTTCAAGGCATTAAGTAAGAAGTATCAATTCTTGATCTGACCACTTTGACATTTCAACCCATTTTAGGCCAAGGTGACGCTGGCAGCCACACGTCGAGGGGACATCCAGATCTTCCTGACCTCCCCAGCAGGGACACGCTCAACATTGCTTGCTCTCAGGCCTAAGGATGCAGCTCGCTCTGGCTTCAACGCGTGGCCTTTCATGACCGTCCATTCTTGGGGGGAAAGTCCCATCGGGCTGTGGCAGCTGGAAATCCACAACGAGGGGCGATATCTCGGTCCGTTCGTCTCCCTTCTCATTGTTGAGCCTTTGTTTCGGAGTGAATGTCTCTTTGAAAAAATCCATGGGCAACAAGGTAGTTTTCATTACATCAAATAATGAAATAATTAGAGATGCAACGATATTGAATTTTGACTGATATACCGATAATTCCAATATTGGAAAAGAACCGATACCGATATCTATATATACATTTATATTTGCACATTCAGGGTGGATTTTGAACAGTGAACTATCTGATAATGCTGCTTTACTTCCAGGAAATATGTGTTTACCCCAGAATAAAGCTGCATTATCAGATTGTTCTCTGTTCAAAAATCCACCCTCAGGCATTAACCCCTCCACTTTTAAGTTTTATTTGGGGCCAGGTCTGATGGGGGGAAAGCTTGAGGTGCACCAGTGGTGCACCTCATGCTTTTGCCATTTCTCCAATAGTGAGAAGAAATGTTTTCTTCATGCTGACGCTAGGCTCCTCAATGTGGATTTTTTAAATATTACATTGGATATTACATCAGGTATGTTATTTCCTATGTTCCATCCCAGAACTTGCAATAAGGTGGAATAGCAATTCTTTTTTTTTTTTNCCTGGGTTCTTCGCGCTAACATAAGCGATGTCTATTTTCGCAGAAAGTGCGGAGTAGGCTATGGTAATGGCATTAGGCCGAGTTAAGTAGATGACGCTTCTCATCTCTCTCTCGGGTGACTGGGTAATGAGCTTATTTCGCGTGGCCTGGGCTCGAACCTAGCCAAGTCAAGTGCATATTTCCTAGTTCAAGCGCCAGCGTGCTTGGGAAGGGAGTACCCAAGCACAGAGCGCTCCTATCTCTAGATGTGGGACGTTGAGGAACCGCGGCAGTGAAGGTCGAATCCCAGGGGAATCCCAATGCAAAGCAAAAAAATGCTTATATTTTCAGTAGCCTAATACTTTTTTTTTTTTACGGGTCATTTAGGCATTTTCAACCTTCTGCAGTGTTTTCACTTGAGTTGGACATTTTTTCACTTGACTTTGACACTCATGGATGAGGAACGTCCCATGAACGTGTGTTCGAGTCAAGTGAAATGTTGTGTAATGGAAAAAAGGTGAAAATATTCATCATTCGCTTTACATACTTAGCGTTTGGCATACTTCAGGTGTAATTTCAATATCGGTTATCGGCAGGTCATATATCGTTTTAGGCCGATATATCGGATTCACCTTATATCGGCCGATACCGATAACCGATAAAATATCGTTGCATCTCTAGAAATAATGTTAAATAATAAGGACAATCATCTCAATGCTGATGTAATGCAAATGGTAATGAGAATGAAAAAAATCAGTTTCCTGATGTACCCAAAATGTCTGCAGCTGGACAGGTGAAGTACCTCCCTGCTTCCCTAGTTCTCAGTGTTATTTCAGTGAATACAGGGAAATGTGCATATCATTAGCAGCCATGTGGTGACCAAACTGAAATGGACTTTCGCAATGCTTCTCCTGTCTCATGAAAGAACTAAAGAAACATTTCTTTCAAGTTTTATAAATGGGTCGTTTCTCAAGCTTTCCTCATCTTTGCTCTACTCAGTGAGCCAGTTGCCATGAAAACATGGGTTCTTAAGAGATTATGAAGTAATTCTTGGGCCCACACAGACTTCTACGAAACCTGTGATGCTGTGGTCCCAAATTTTGGGAAAATCTGTTCCATCCAAGGCCTGAGGGCATGAGAAGTTTGTTTCCAAGAGGAACCTTAAAGATCACATCAAGCACAGTTTTTTTTTGTGGGACTGCTCCTTCTATTTGCGTGGACTTCTTTGAGTTATATCATTCTTCATCATCAAGTCCTTGGGGTTGGCTTGTGTGGATGCAGGGCGGGCTTCCTTGACACAATGGTCGTTGGTGTTCTACGGTACGTATGAAGAGCCCACGGCTTCGGCTTCCTCGTCTCACCCCTACTTGCATTTTTTCTCCTTTCCACCTCTTCTTCCATTCCCCGCTTTCTCCCCTTCTGCAAACGAGGACACGGATCCAGCACGTCGGCCTGCTGCCAAAACAGTTGCCTCCCCCGATGACAGGCACGATTCTTCCTGTGAGCCAGTCGTCCGATCTTTCCGTCCATCAGTCTGCCTGGTTGATGTTGGCAACCCTTTGTTTGTTCCTATGTTTCCAGTTTTCTCACTCTTGTCCTCATTGTTCCTTGGTTTTGAATGGATATTAAGTATGCATGTGAAGCTTGACTCCAGCATGAGAAGCTGTAGAATTCAGGCAGGATAGAAGCCATGTCTCATGAAGAGAAGGCATATCTGCCTTGTTTTCTTTATTGTTGTGACTCTCAAAACCCATCTTTTGTGTCAGAATCGTGTCTATTTCCCATGGCTGGTGCCCTTGCCAATGTATATCTGCATTCTCTCCATTTTGTAGTTCCTGCAATTATCATCCTAGAAGGCACTAGGTTTTTTACTCTTCTGTTCAAACTTTGATTAGGAAATGAAGCAGTGAGTTGTTTTCTCTCAGCATGTCTCATTCAAGAGAAACAGTGGAGAATATCTGAATTACCTCTGCAGCGTTGTTAAGGGTTATTCACTGGCACAGGGATCAATCTTGCATGAGGATTCTCCCCCTCCTCTTGAGGACTGATGAGAGGATTGAAATTTGTTCATTTTTACAAGGGAGGATTAAGATCCAAATTTCACAATGATGAAACATTGCTCCACAAAAAGATTGCTTCATTTAGCTAACATTTGTTCTGTGTTGGCATGCAGAGGAAAGCATGGTAATTGCTGAGACATGCAAAATTTGTTGTTGCATAGGTAATTTGTGTAAGGTGGAAAGAAATGTGGCAGTGAATTCTGGTGGGATGTGAAATGCAAAGAGACCTGAATGTAATGGAGTTGATGTACAATTCATCTAATGATTCCTTGTATTTCAACCAATGATCAGGATATTACTTGAGCATGAGCAAGAATTAGAATGCAAGTTGCATTTTATGCTGTATAGTTACCAGGTATGTCACATAAGACAACTAAGTATTTTGAATTCCATCATTAGACTTTATGCAGAAGTAAAGCCAGACTTCACTTATCATTTTCTCAACCATGAGTAATTATCATCCACCTGTTGGAATGATTGGTGATAAAAATGTTTTGAATACTTGCAGCCTCAATTGCAATCTGGGGATTGACACTGTATGGGACCAAGGAGAGTCCGGACGGAACGGAGCCGGCAAAGAACCCGCCTTATCGGGGCGGACTCCCCGCACCGCTTCCTCCCCATGGGAATGAAATCTCCATCGTGGAACATGATGGGGACGATCCAGACATGTTGCGAAACGGGAGTTGCCGCACTGTAGACTCTGTGTCGGGTCTCTGTTTGGGTGCGTGTCTTTTCTTCCTGTACCTCGTGGGGGATCAACTAACCTCCGGGTGTGATGCGTGTAGAACGCATAGAAGTACTGCTAGTGGCTGCTTCAGCACCTGCGGATCTGTGACTTGGACCTCGAGGACGAGGGTTGTGGCAGCAGCAGCCTCGGAACGCTTCCTTAGGAGTAAAGTGTCCTGATGAGCCGTACAATCTGCCCTGGATGTGTGGGGCATTTCATTCCAGGGAATTCCATCAGAATCCTCTCTCTCCTCCTGTTTTTCCTCTATCTCCCATCTGTTTACAGGGACCCTATGAGTAGAATCCCAACACTGGGCACAACTTGGTGTTATATATATTGTCCCTTCCTTTTATGGTCCTTGGTGGGACATGCATCTGTCAGATTTGACAGCAAAGGGTTTGTGATGGTTGGCAGTGGGATGCTCTCTCTCTCTCTCTCTCTCTCTCTTTTCTGTCACTCACTCTCCCTTCTTTCTCATCCTTTTCAGGGCTACTTTTACCCTGTCCACCAAAGATCCCTTGCAGAGCTGCAGGAGATGATTACCCTTGCTCAATGCACGGCTCTCTCATTCGATTTCTCCTTCATATTCATTGACCAAGCGTGATATCATCATTCATCTGACATCGTATTCCCTTTTTTTTTTTTGCTCTCACCAGCTCATGAGTCAGCCAGAGGCAAGATTAGGATTTTGTTGTGATATTTTACAAGAGATTATGGTCACGAGTGTGCATGGGTGAGAGTAAATGAATGGTTGATATTGGTATGCCTGTGAATATTATTATAATTATATGAATCAGATGTAATGGAGTCAAGAAGAGTGCCAAGTTTTCTCCCACCCTCATACTCTTCCCTTGTCCCTCCCTATTCCCAAAGACTGGCAACACTAATCAGTATTATGTTGATATTGAGAGAGACTGAGATAGCCTCATCCTTGTCTGCTTCTTACAGTAGAAGTTTGACAAGGCTAAGCTAGTGAGAAAGGAAAGAAAAAAGCATGTTGGGATGATATTGATTGACTTGCCATATGCTCAGGTGTTCCCCATTTGTGCTGTCTTTGCACCTATGGCCCCTACCTCAAATAGATCCTGTACTCAATCCTGTTGTCCTGTTTCCCCTTAATTTGCAGTACAGCTCTGTATCTTCTGTCAACCTTCTCTCGTATACTCCTGAATCTGGATTTTTTTTGGTGTGCTTTGTGATTCTTATTCTCTGTGCAGTTGTGAACAGAGATTGACTCTCACACAGAGAGACACCTGTGATGGCCGACATTGCTGTCGACATATCAGTGTTCTTTTTTTCATACAATTAAGAATAAAGAAAGGATTCAAGATCGAATCAGATGCAGGGAGTTGGAGCTGAGCCTCCAGAGTTATGGTGATGATTAGCTTTGAAATTCAGCCCTTGTCCTCGATGTCATCTATTCTAGATGCAAAAGCCAGGTTCCTCGCCATAACTTTGCTAGACTCTGCTTTGGCTTCTCTGCTGTGATTCATTTTGAACTGTGTTGTGTTGTCCATAATGCAGATGTGGGAATTGCATAAGCACGAAGAAGACGACAAGCAGAAGTGGGACTTGCCATCATCCTTTCCCTCCCATCCCCTCCCCCCAAGGGGTCTTTGGCTTTTTTTTCATATTTTATTTTATTTTTTTGCTCTGGTAGTTTCATACTAATTCTGGGGTTGCTATACTTTGCATCTGTGGGTTCCCTCTGGGGTTTCATGTGTGATGAATGGGTGAGTTCATCCTTACTCTCATAGAGAGTAAGTATTTATGACCTGGACATTTCTCAATTCTGGTTTCTCTTCCATAGGATGTAGTGAAGGTCACATATTGATGGCTGGGAAGTGCTTGGATTCCTGCCCAGTAGGAACATACCTGTTGACTGGGGAGGAGTCCTCATGCCAACCGTGTCACTATTCGTGTCGTACGTGCATCGGGCCACTTCCTTTCCTGTGTAAATCGTGCTGGAATGATGCCTCCCTTCACCCTGATTCCCGTGGTCGAATGTACTGTCATCCAAGACTCCTGATTTCAGAAATGAAACAGTTGGATCGTGGACATTCCATCCTGGCAGTGGGATTTGGGATCTGCCTCATCTTCCTTGCCAGCCTCCTCATCTTTGTCCTCACCTGGTATCGATGCAAGTGGCAACAAACTATGGATTCCGAGCGCATTCGTTATAGTTCCCTCTCCTCGTCCCTGTCTCCTGAGTATATCCACTCTCCTGGTCCTCCTCATTCAGAAAGCACTACTAAATTCATCCATAGCTGCGAAGATTCTGAGTCCAGGTGATATGTCTGTGATCACAAGTACCTGCGCAGAAACAGTGAAAGAGTGAAACAATGGGTTGTGGTTATATATGTCCCCATGTCTTGCCTTCTTTCCCTCTCATGGCACTATTGTTTTTTTTTTAATTTGGATTTTAATTCTATGTATCAAGTTATATCCTCTCATTTTGTCTTTGCTATTATATTTTATGATACTCTTTCAGCCAGCCCATTTCGAAACTGCAATCTTTTTCTCCTGCCTTCTAAAATTTTTATTGATCTCATTTTATTGGAATAAAGGAGGAATTCAACCCTACAATATTTGTGATATCATGAAGCAATGAAAAGGAAGGAGTGTGCTGTGCTCAGCAACTTGGCAGCGTGTCATATTTTCCTGCCCCCATGTCCATGCATTGGCTTTTAATTGGGTCTCTTTCACGTTGTTTTCTTCTTGCAATACTTAAACAATACTCCAGCTTTGCAGCTCTTTACTGGTTGTCCATAGTTGTAACAATTGAGTTTCCTGTGGATGAGATGGGAATATAACAGAGCAGAGGATGAGGCAAAGGTGGGAATTGCCAGTATCAGAGTTTGTGGAAGCTGGTCTGAAAGTTGGAGAATGGAGATTGATACAGGACAGCCCAAGCCGCATCTATCCCGACAGCCAAATGCCAAATTGTGGGGAAAGACTGGACTTAGAGGAGAAGCCTCAAGTGCAAAAGGTGACATCTGTCAGTGTTAAGGTCGTCTTGAAATCAGGTCCCCGTGCTCTCCGTAGCATGAATCTGTTGAACAAGGGGGTGGGACGACTGCTTCAGAGTTTTCACTTTGTCCCAGGCTCGATCCTCTGCTGTGGGGATCATCCAGTGGCACAGCGCTTGGCCATCGACACTGTCATTGTTGACGGTGTGGATAACATCCTGTCTAAATCTACCATCATCTATAGACTGAGCCGGGGTGGGGAAGTCCATATCTCCCAAACGATCACAAAAGACAGGTTCCAGCAGATTCAAGATGCAGAAAAGGTGCCAAAACATTGGAATATGGACCTTGTGAAACATGTGGAAGAAATGCTTTCAGCATCAACCATCAATCAAGGGATCTTGTTGACCGGACCCAGCGGGTGTGGAAAGCACCACTTGGTTCGCCTGGTTGCCACCCGGCAATCTGCCTTCCTTGTCGTTGTTCAGCCGGACTCAGATCTCCAGAGGTTGAAGCATTATGTAGCTGACATCCTCTCCCAGGCTGCAGAGGGGAAGACCATTCTGTTTCTACGAGATGTGGACTCCATCTGTCCGTATCGGGATGCATCTGGACGGAACAGTGATGGACGCAGACGGACGACTTATGTCATGGGAGCCATGGACACATTGATGGGAAAGGGAGTGTGGATCCTTGGATCCAGTGAACGACCTCAGGACATCGATCCTGCCATCCGCCGAAATGGCCGACTTGGTCATCTGGTATGGCACACCAAATCTTTTTTAAATTCCCTTGGGTGTAAGAAGGCAGTGCCCCCTTAGGTTTCTATTCTTCCCTAAAATTGGTAGAACACATTTTATCCATACTGGTATCCTTATGTGCCAGTTGTAATCAACAGTTTGGAATGAAATTGGGAGAAAGTATTTACTACTTGTCTGATCAGCTTAACAAATAAAATGTCATAATCCTTATTCTGTACTGGTTTTTTTTTAAAATCAGTAATCATGAGAATATTTTAGGATTTTTGACATTCAAAGCAATTGCCTTCAAGATTCCCAATGAGGTGTGTCCAAGTCACAAACAACTAGTTTCTTCATTAAAAAAATGAATAGAATTAAAACTGTCCTTGGGGTCTAACCAGTGAAGGAGAAAATCGATATATTTTTTAAACACCTGATTTAAATAATGAGACATAATTCACATCATGTATCAGAAAGTAACAGCAATCTATGATTTGGTGTGTAGAAAGTGAGCAGACTTTTAATTTGACCATGGTTTTAAATCACACAGTATGCAAGGAACTTTATTCATCTGATGAGATATGTAAAGTGGATTAAATTGGCTCTCTGGTGCAGTCATGATGTTCAATGCACTTGTTTGAATCAGTCAATTTTTATCAGGTGATGCATTCATGATTTGCATAATTTAAATAAATCTTTTGAAGATTTGTAACTCAGAGAGTGGTGATTGGTGACTTGATTTGTAATTTACCCACCATTGAGGATATTTCCCACCTTGCATTTTTCTTTCAATGCCCTTGAAATGCTTTCTTTTTCTATCATTGTAACCTGTTTAGTGGTGTTCATACAGGTGCAGGTAAAATTACCAAATGCAGTGGAGCGGAGGGAGATTCTCAGAGAGGAGGGGATTGAGGAAGCAGTGGCAGAAGCTGTGGCACTTCACACTGCCTCCTTCTCTCCCTCTGACCTCAGACATCTCATCGCCTGTGCCATTCAGCAGGCCGCGTTCCAGTCTCGTGTTCCCTTTTCTGTGAGATTGGCCACTTTTCCTGCTCTTTTCAATAATTCTACAGTTCCCATCCTCATTTTGGCTATCTTGTTGAATAGGGGAAGTTGACCCAGGAGGACTTTGACAAGGTACTTCCTCGAGTGTCTCCGTCCATCCTCACCGCGTCCTCGGCTTCCCTTCCCTCTTCGTTCTCCTCTGAGACATCCTCATGGGACTCTCTTGGCGGATTGCATCCCGTCAAAGCACGCCTGAGGCTTGCCCTAGAGTTGCCGATCAAGCATCCTGCTGCCTTCCGTCGTCTTGGTATTTCTGGCCCCAGAGGTACTGTACCATGAATTTCCTCAAAAGAAAAGACAGTCTCTGCTTCCTATTTTGGTAGACAGTGCTCAATGTAGGCTTTGAAATTGCATAAGGGCGTTTTGGAGCCCTTGTAATTAGCACGTGCAATTAGTTTCAGTCTTGTATGTTAGTAATAAATTTTTAAAAATTACATTCTCTCCCTTTAAAATAGAAAACATAACAGCAGCACTGTCAGAAGGCTGTGTTTTGCTGATGCAAGGATTTCAAGTACTTAACAATTTTGTGACTTCTTTAGGGATCTTGCTGGTTGGAGAACCAGGCTGTGGGAAGACATCCCTGGTTCGTGCTGTGGCATCTTGTTTCTCACATTTGACATGCTTCTCACTTTCCCCTGCCTCTGTCCTGTCTCCCTACGTTGGGGATTCCGAGAAGTTCTTGTCGGAAACGTTCCAGCACGCTCGCATCGTCCAGCCCTCCCTCATCTTCCTTGACGAAATTGGTATGTGCTCCGTCGACAGATTTTTCTTTTCTGCCGACAGCCCTTTTTGGTCTGATGGGATGTAGTGCATTGAGTGCTGGGGAGGGCTGAAAAGAGCATGTTGTTGGCAGATGTTCTGACGGGGTCCAGGAACCAGGATTCGGGGAAGAGAAGCGTTCATGAGAAGCTCCTCTCCACCCTGCTCAATGAAATGGATGGCATTTCGTCTTCCTCATCTTCGCAGGTGAAGTGTCTCTGGGCTCATCTTTGTTTCTATATTTATGAATCCATCAGTTGATGATGATTGGTGGAAATGATGTGCAAAGGTGGTGGTGGTGGGAGCAACGAATCGAGTCGGCGTGATCGACGAGGCTCTGCGACGACCCGGTCGTCTGGACTGGGTCTTGGAGATCCCCGTCCCGGACGAACGGGATCGACTGGACATCCTTAGGGTCCTCACCCGTCGCTCCGAGCTGGACGTGGATGTCTGCCTGGAAACCCTTGCCAGACTTACTCGTGGAATGAATGGATCTCGGCTTGCCAGCCTCACCAGAGAAGTGAGTGACATGCCTTTTACCCTGTTGCAACCATTCCATATCATCTTTTTTTACGATTCAACCTGTTGTCTCACTCAGGCGGGTCTCAGGGCCCTCGAGAAGAGGGGATTCCTTGCCGATTCCATTTGCATGGAGGATTTCCTCTCTCTTCTCAAATCTCATGACCAAGAGTGTCTGGATGACTCTTAGGAAATGAATGTCTCCTGTTTCCACATGTTGTTTGCCTTCCTTTATTATGGTGTGGCTGAACTGGACTGCGTGGAAGAAAATTTTGAGGCTCCTGTCAAAGAAACTGGAAAGATAGTCCTAAGTAGAGGGAAAATGGCATCTATGAATTTCAAGAGGTTTTGGGGTACTGGTCAAGTTCTGATGGGCAATCTAGGATCTATGATATATGCTTACTGGATCATGCTTATGTCATTCTTTGAATAAGTGATGTGAAGGGATTTGGTCAACGAAACAGTTGCTGAACTACATTGCAGATAGAATCCCATCATGTCAGTTGTAAACAAAAAATAGGATGAAGGCATTCAAAAATCTAAAATTAGAGTGGTGGAATTCTTGACAACCCCTCTGTTAAAATGTTTCTGCTGCAACAAAGATCTGTAAGGATGATGGTCAGGGTCGACATCCAATCGTGAGACAAGCACGTTTCTATGAGATCCATTGACTTTGCCTCAGTTAGTTCAAGGTGTGACGAATGTGCGCATCAGCCTCTTCTATTGCGTTTAGGCATGGAATATACAGGGTGGGTAAAAAAAAACCGTCCCAAATTTGTAGCTTAATAACTTGGACTCCGTTGGGCCAATATCAATTTTCAAAAAAGCAAAATTAAGCTTGTTCAATTTTCTTTCGAATGATATATAATTTGGGGGGGATTTGCTTCAGAGAAATGGCCGCTATTACAGCTTCAAAAAAAGGGACGAAAAAATTTCCTGAAAACAGCTTTCCTGAGTTCTTTCCAATGTCGCGCTGCTGCTGTCGCCTGTTTCTCCCTCGCACCCCTGCATGATACGGATTGGTTGATGAGAGATCATGCGATCGTGAGGCGAGTAACATGAGACTGTTGTAGATTGTGGAGGAGGGCGCATTGAACCATTTTTGGGTCATTAAAAAGGTCTGTGTGCGTGTGAGTGATAAATTCGAGGTTGAGGAAAAGGAACTTGGAGTAAAAGCCCATTTTCAGGAAATTTTTTCGTCACTTTTTTTTACTGTAATAGCGGCCATTTCTCTGAAGCAAAGTTACATATCATTCAAAAGAAAAGTGAACAAGCTTTATTTTGCGTTTTTAAAGTTGATATTAGCCCAACGGGGCCCAAGTTATTAAACTTCAAGTTTGGGGCGGTTTTTTTTTGGCCCTCCCTGTATATATATACGTACCTGACCAGCGGGCAGGTTTAATAGGCGTCTTTTTTTCTATTTAGCAGCTCATGCTTAATTGCAGAATAAGAGATAATTGCACTTGTATTTTCCGTGTTCGGAGTTCAGAGTTAATCGACAAATTATTTTATGTGAAACAAGCAGTAAATGAAGTTATGAATCGGTGCCCTTCCGTAATTCCACCATTTTGACTTTTTTTTAAATATTTGGTTTCACAGACAAGAGTTGAATTAAATCTTTCGAAATCGGATTGCTTTTCAAGTCTGTGGCTGCGAGTTGCCGCAAAATGTCAGGGTCGAAGCAATATAAGTCCCACAAATGTTCATTGAATCTTTGCGCCGTCACGGAAAAAAAAAAAAACCTTGAGGGCAATGGCATTAGAACCTTCATTTTGGTTTCGAGGAAACACAATAAACAGGTTAGCCTTAAAAAAAAAAAAAAAAAAAAAAAAAAACCTTGGGGGAGAAACCGCCCCCGCCCCAGTAACTTAGATGGCGTCATTTCCACTCGAGATGACGTCACATCTGGTTTAAGAGGAGAAAACCCTCGTTCCGCTGAAGATCAATTCCCATGACGAAAATGGGCTATTAACTTCTAATGGTGTGGGAGAAGGCCCGGAACAAAGGGGCGGATGCCCGGATTCTGATTGTATTTTCTCTCTGAGCATGTAATGAGCACATCGGTAAACACGCAAAAATGAGAAGAGAGTGAAGAGGGTCAACGTGCGAAAAGCCGACGAGATGCGTGTCGACATCGTCGACATGGCTGGCCACCGTAGCACCCAGGTAGCATGTAATCGACATTGACTCGATGTCATGTGCTACCTGATCGCGTGGAGATGATGATACAGTACCATAACTGACGGCAGCGGAATTGCTTGTTACATTGTTCCTTGGAGCTCGCTTGGTACCTTGGTTTTTTTTTCCTTCCCCGAGGCGCAATGGACAAACCTTGTCAATCCTTAACGACTGATAGGAATTGACCCTGCATTTATCGACGGATCAGTAGCTTAAGGGGAGTTTCTTTTTTTTTTTTAACGAACTGGTTCTGTGCATGATGAATGAAAGCCATTACCGAGAAGTGTATGTCGATTTTCCTTCTTATCGGAAGCTAAAGGGAAGCGGGAAAAGCGATGACGTCACATAGGCGATCGGGGAAGAGGGAACCGGAAGTTTCCCATTCGCCACCGGTCCTCGCGTCCTTGCATGCCTTCTGCTAGGAGATCGTGCCGCAGTGTCCTGTGTTCGGGTGTCACGATGACACGAGACGGAGGATGGGAAAGTGATTCGTCGCTTTCTCTCGCTCGGTCGCCTGCTTCGTCGCTGACCCGCTGGAGCGAGCTCTGCAGTTGGGGTTGGGAGCGTCGGGTGTTGAGACTCGGTTCCCAGCGTGCGTTTGTGTGTGGGGGGGGATGCGAGGCTTTGTTTGGTTTGGTTATTATCGGTTCGATGATAACCGATAGTCTGTGGCTTCGGTGTGGATTTTATCATAGGCGAATGAGTCAGAGGGGTGCAACAGGTACGTCGTTCGACTGCACGAGAGTCTTCTTCCCGTAACAGGCGAGTTGGCGTTCGTTCCAAGCAGTGGAGAACCTGATGAATAATATTTAAATAATAGATTAGATTTTAATCGGTGTCTTAGCATAGGCGAGAAAATGATCTGGCATTGGTTAGCTCTTTATTTTTGGATTTCACTCAGATTTTGCTTTGGCGAGGACAAGCCTAAGGACTCTAAAATATGGCAATTTCCGTTCTTAAGGCTTTTGGAGGCAGTACCCGTTCCCCAGCTTTCAAATTTAAGTTGGGGACGGCAACTGGTTTCAAACTTCATCTGATTCCTCGGGTCTCTCAGCAGCGTTCTGCCCATCTACGAAACAGTCTGTAACATGTGCGTTGCACGCTCTCGCTCCAGGGCTGCGGATGAACCCGTCGCGACAGCCATATACACAGGCTGGTTTGGGGCACGATCTCCTAGCAGGCGCTGCGAGGATGAGTGGACGCGAGGACTGGTGGTTTCCGGCTTCCTTCTTTCGGTCGCGTGATGTCATCCATTGTCCCCGATCTCCGCGTTCTTCCGAACGGATGTTCTGATCGATGTGCGGTTTCCGACGATGGCTTTCATTCATCGTGACTCGCCACAGGTGCGGCGCTAGTTGTAAAATTGTGAACTCCTCCTCTAAACATTTTTCATCGCTTTCTGGCAGCCAAGTCGGAAAAAAAATCCTGTTTGTGGTCTCGACTTCTTTTTATTGGGTCAGTATAATTTTTTTTTTCAGTTTTGATTTATTTTGCTTAAATTATGGCTTCTTCCAGGGGGAATTTGCGTTTACCCACTTCCAATCAGGGCATACATTTTATTGCCTAATGCTTTCCTTTGTCATACATTATAATTGTAATGCTTCCGTAGTATATTCCTTCCACGTGACCTTTTTAAACGTCGCGCACCTCATCGTCCTTGTACCCTCGCGTTCCGACCTTCGATCGCTCGCTTCCTTGCGCGCATTTTCAGCATGCATCCATTCGTGGCCGACCGTCGTTCATTCGTGGCCGACTGTCGTCCATCGACTTCCTCGTAAGGGCCTGCATTCCCGTCGCGTTGTGGGCAGGATGCTCGGAATCGTCGGCCGATCGTCGCTCCTGATGCGATTGAATGGACCAAAAAATGCCGCCGTCTCTTTATTTAGTTCAGTTCGCATCGTTTTCACTGTGAGGAGCGGCCATAGTTTAATATGAGTAATTAATTTAAGTTTGGCTCGATTAAGAAGGTTCATCGCTCGAGTGAACGAAATTCGACGTGACGCTTCCTATTTTGTTGAGTTGCCTTTTCATTTGAGCAAATTGCCCCAGGGTCAAAATTACTTTGTAATTTTGCCTTGTCTTGCAACTTTCACGGCATTATTTGAACTGTCAATTTTTTAAAATCATTACTAAGTATATACGGAAATCCGCCACGTCGATTCCAGTTTTTAAATAAACAAGTCATGATAATTTCCAAGAAAAAAATTGCCAGACAAGCTCACTTGAAATTTACTATTCTCATTTTTTATAGGATCAATGAATGGCCAATGTTATTATTATTTTTTTTTCTATTGAGCCACTCGGTAGATCGGAAGCTCAGCGGATTCGAACGAGAGCAGTCGCACTGGTCGCCCGAGTCAGGAACAAGTTTTTTGTCGGGAAACGTGTTCGATTTCCATTTCCCAGGTGGCTCGCCGGAACGCGGAAGGTGTCAGCTGAGCTCACGAAATGATGGATGACGAAACTTTCCCAGGTGAAAATGAAGCTTGAGATACGATCCGGACTGGAACATGCTCACGCCCTAATTTTTTTTTATGATTTAAAGGGCATTCGTTTAAAGGACATAAATTATGAATGAAGGGCAGAAGGAATGAGATTGAGAACGGAAGAGGGCGTGACTTCGCGGCACGGCGAGGTCACGCCCTCCTCGTCCTTCTCGGCCGAGAAGTCGAATCTCCCCGGGTGACGTCATAAAGGGAGGTTCGGCTCGGCTTACGTAAGCGAAGGGCAGCGAGGATCGTGAGAGAATCTCGTCGGTGACTCTCCAGCCCTGAAATGCGGAAATGTTTCCTCCTCTCCGCGACGGGTCCAAGTGGGTACTCGGCTTTACGACCGGAATTTATGCCGAGAAACGTCGAATCGGCGCCGACGACCGTTATGAGAAGGCAAATCGTGGAAAAACAATATTTCCCAACCTTTGACAGTCGTCAAATGCATCTTCCACCTTCGGCAAGCGACGGACGCACCCCTCCCTGCTCGGGTCAGGCTCTGACTGACGCGTCCCGCCATCTATCCCATCGAGGACGAAGCGCTGGTTGATGCTGAGGCGATAGGGGAGGGGAGGCATCGCCCGTTCATGGCCGTGGACATGGGGCTCTGGCGTGGACCCCGTTTGGTCATTTCATATTGCCCAATGTTGCAGCGGTTACTAGGCCTATACGTGTGATGGGCTGATTTTCGTCGTAAATGTTTCAGTTCATCTCGTCGAACGGAGGCTTTTGTTTTCTGTTTATTTTCGGTGTTGGTTTGGTTATGATTTCAATGAGATCATGTTCGAGTAAACATAGCCTGGAGTGATCAGAGTTGTTTATTTTTGTTAGTCATAGTGTCTCAGTTGTGTTTTCTATGGGTTTATGCTTTTAGATAAAGCTTTGATACGTGCTTAGTTTAGTTACGGTTTTTCTCCGATTCCAATATTCCAGAAGTGAACTGAAACTGGGCTTAACTAGATGATGTGTCAAACTTAGGTTCATAATTTAAGATTGATTTATTTTTCACTCAACTGGATGTGTTAAAGGTGAATACCTGGCTCACTGCAAGTGCCTAGGTCTACATAGCACCTACAATGAAATTACTGTTTAGAAACTCAAACTGGGCTGAAATTTTGTCAACTTTTCACTGATCTGGAAAACTATTCAAACTGCAGATTGGCCTTGAGTGAGCAGGCCATGAATGACTTGGGAATCCCCATAATAGGTTTGAATCCCCCTACGAGCGGAAGCGGAGGAGAAGCATGGACCATCTTGGGTGAGTTGACTAGCATGGGACCTTTGCAATCCTGGAAGCTTTTAGTGTAATTTGAATGTTTGAATATTTGAACATGGGAATGTTTCAGATGGGAGCATTGCCCAGATTCAGGACATACAAGAGAGCATCCAACAGATGAGAGACATTTCATCGGTGTCCACGATGTTGCAGGTGGGTGGATTCGGCACACTCTGAAACGGCATTGCGAAATTTGCATGCTTAAATGAGTTTTTTATTTTCTCTTGATTTAAGGTCCATGGTGGCATGAAGGGAACCCGATTCTGTGCCTCTTGTCCATCCTTGAGTGAGGGGAAAGACTCACCACATCCTGTGGAGGATCACTTTCAAAGTTTGTGCAACATTGTTATCATGTAACTTCTATTTAACCTAGATTTTTTAAGTTGTCATGTAAAAGGTACATTTCAATGGAAATTTTGCAGTCAAATGAAATTCTTGTGCCTCACAACTGCCCCTCTGTCTTGTAGATTACCTGGAGTCTGAGGCGAGCATCCAGCGAAGGAGGAGTCACTCAGAGACAAGAGGAAAGCCACGAGATGAACCCAGGTATGCTGTTGTACTCATTACCATCTGTTCTTTTTCATAAAACTAATTCCAATAAATCTGGTAAAGCACCATTTCACATCTGAAACAACCATAATTTATTTTATTGGATTAGTTATTTTTCTGGTGCTTCATGCCTAGTTTTATGTCTATTTTATAGCAATTTCCAAGCAACAGAATTTGCTTGCTCGCATAATCCAAGTTAATAGGTTCAGTTATCTAACATATTAGAGCTGGATGCTTGAACTTGGGTTTCATCAAATCATTTTGATTATTCAATATGATAAATGTGCTAGCCTTTGCTTTCACATCTACTTGAGTGGCATTTTACTTCTGTTATAGTCATATGGTGTCAATCTTGCTTAAAACTTGAGCCAATCATATGACTCATTGTGAGACCTATACTATTCTTATTTTTGCTATTAATGCTCACTGCTTTTTTCACACCCAATAGGAAGCTATTAGGGTGTGCATTGACAATGCAATGATACAGACTAGGTTCATGTGCCTGTCTCTTATAGACGTAGTCATGCCTTACAGATTGCAACATACCTTGCTCCCTCTTTGCCCTTTATGGTTACAACCATGAAGCCCATGTTAATAGGCCAATGTGAAAGTCAAAGCAGGACCTCTTTTCTTGCCTCTATAATCTCAGTTGTTGGCAGGTGGAAGGGATAGGGAAATTTCTTTGCTGGTTAAATATGCATCTTGAGGGTTTTTTATAACCATGTATGAATCATGAAACTAAATGATGGTAAAGGTTTTTCTGCCTACATAAGTAATTTAATTGATGTATGAAAGTTCAAACATTTTGTGAAAGTATAATTTCAGAATGAGATATATTTTTCTGGAAGCAAGAGAAGCTGTTCAATTTAAAATTCTTGCTGTTCAAGTCCTGAGTGCCACAGTGGTAGCAATCTGCCTGTCCTCTAAGGAGGTTCCCCCCCAGAGAATCTAAAAATTAAATATTGCTTTAATGCATGAATGGGTGCTAGGGCACCAAGTGCCTTGTCATGCCTGAAGAAGTGGTGACATGGTCAGTCTCAGCAGCGTGGAGTCGGAGGAGGACGAGGAGGAGGGGGAAGAAGAGGGGACCCGGTCGCAGGACGTTCCTGATGGGTGCATTCCACCCCTCAAGGCTTTCATTTCATCTTCCTCTTCTCGAGCAGGAACTGTGAGTGGTTGCTGATGGGTGAAGAAGTAGTAATTACCTGGTCTTAGATGGTATCAGAAAAAGAGTTTAGGCTTGGTTGAAATATTATGCCTCTAGAGTCAAGAGGGATTTTCTTTGCAGGATTTGCATAGAAGAGAGCTCCATAAGTCACATTCCACTCCTTCTATTGTGAACGAAGAAGAGGAGCCCACAGAGGGCAGACGAGTGGGACAGCCATCTCCACGCTTGTATGTTCATTTTGGGTGGACGAGAGTGTTTGCATCTGAAATGCATTTGCAGTGATTTTTGTAAGATTCAGAGTGGATGTGAAAGTGTTCTTTCCCTTTATTTGATTCAGCACTAGTGGGACTGAGAGTGAGGACGAGCTTGATGTCCAGCTAAGGAGTCAGCCTGTCGGTCGCATTCCAGAGCATGCCTATCAGTTTTCTAGAGCTCCCATCTACCGTGACGAAATTGTTCCAGAGTGAGTTTCACATATACAGACTTATAGAAATTCAGAGAAACTTTTACAGAATTGATTTATGGTTTTAATTCTTGTCTTACCATGAAGTGGAACCAAGTTACTATTTGTATATCATTCCACAGTAAGCTGGGATTGATGCTTCTCTTGTGGGGATCTACCTCCCTCCTCTTGGTTTTGGTACCATTAAATGGTTTTATGTGAAAAACAAAAATGTGAAAGATTGGTGAGGTACTGCATTCTTCAATGGTTACTTGTGGACATTTTCACGATCAGCTTATGGAGAAATGGTGGATGGACTTTTGCTAATTTCAGTTTATGTGAATCGATAGTATGAGGTTGATTCACTGTGTCAGTTTGATGCTGATGGTCATGTGTGATTTTGTCTGGTTTTAATTCAGTGGATTTATGGCGATCGGAGTCCCGCATCTGGATGACAGCAAGAGGCGCAAACGGAGCAGCATCTTTTTCAAGAAGAAAAAGGTACTGATGGTTGAGATTGTGGAGCATTTGTATTTGTGCATTTACAAATATATGCAATGCAATGTGATTTTTTTCCTCTGTGAAGGAGAAGAGTCGGCGATTGTGCCACACCATGGTACCCTTTTCTGGTGGCCGTCCTGGGAACTGTGATATGTGCAAACTGCCCCTTTTCACTCAGCGTTCTGTCTCATGTCAGAGTGAGTTTCTATATATTCTTTCCATTCTTGAAATCTTCTGGCTCATTTTACTAGTTTATGAGCAAAAGCTGAGCCATCTCTTGTTGGCAGCTGGTAAGGGACTTGTTTGAACTTTCATAACTCATAATTCATTCACAGATTGCGGGGTGTATCAACATGAGGCTTGTGTGGATCCCACTGCTGAATGTCCTCGCATGCGCCTTGTCAAGGTCAGTCTCTTTTATGCTGCCATGGAATCCTCTAATTATGTGTACTGGTAATGTTTTTTCTGCAATACATAAATCAGCATAATGCAGTTTGAATAAAAAGTTTTTGACCTCAAATTAGAGCTACATGTTTTCATTAGGTTAGTTCTCTTCCCTCCCTCCCCCCCCCCTCTCCCTTCCTGACTTCAGATCACATTGATGGCAAGCACTCAGATTTTTTCAAACGTGAGAAAGCTTCTTTAAGAAGAAAAATATTCAATTCTAAATTCTCAAAAAAACCCAGGCAACCCCCACCCCTCCCCATAGGTGTTTTGATGTGTGGAGTTTTTTTTTGTGATGTTGCTGTGCCACTACATTTCTGTATGTGATTTGTGACAGATGACAGGAGGGAAATCTTCAGGGAGGCTGAGCTCCCACAGTACAAGTAGTCTGAGTCTCCTGAGCCGGAAGAGCCCCACGTCCATCTCTCCAACCGGGTCTCTCCACCGGGATCATCTCCATTCGTAAGTCCTTGCCCCCTCCACCCCCCCTCTTCCCATTGCTTTTACCTTTTGGTGGGTCTTCTTTCTGGAAAGGAAAGGGACTGTTGGCTGTTTTCTTGTGTCAACTCCATCAAATTCTTTATTTCAAGTGAATGAGTATGGAAGTGAGTATGAATTTTTGTTGTGGTGAAGAAGGATCTTGTGGACTCAATGGCCTGAATGCTGAAACCTCATGTAGTTAATGGTTCTTTAAGCATCCATGAGCTTCTGTGGGGGGAAAAAGTGCTCTCTATCCCATAGGCTATCTCATAGACACTCATGCTAAAAAATTAGGATATAATGAAATAGGATATAAATAAATTTCCGATATATTGAAAGAATTTCCATGCCCCCAGATAGAAACTACTCAGGATAAAATGAGTTTCCTCCCGTCCAGAAGGAAATAGTTTTTTTTTTATCCCCGTGACGGAAGTGGAGAAGGGTCAGTCCTTATCTCTATTCAGCCCTCTGCCTAGGTCTTCAGCTGCGCCGCCTATGATAATGAAAGATGCTTGTGAACGAAGTACTTCACTGCTCACTCAGCAGCTTTTTGTTGGGCTCCCTGGTTTCATTGATCCCATGCGAGTTTCATTCTATGAGGCTTTGGGAGGTCCATGCCCTTTACACGGTAGAAGCTTTTACGCATTTAACCCTTTTGCTGCATAATTTATTTTGGCACAAAGCCAATGGCAATGTTGCAGGATGCAACTGAAGTCACTTTTTGCAGTGTAAGGGTTAAGACATCAGCCGCTAGTGCAATTTCCGATGCTATGACTGCTATGACTTGTGACCCACCAGTGGATATATGGCAGTGAAGGTGTTAAAGTATTGTCATCCATGAAATCCTCAATATCCATAGTGCCCCCAAGGTAAACCCATGCGATAATAATCATATATTTACAGGTGGTAATCGTTTGAGGTGTGACCTACCGTATGGTCTATGACCTACCACAGCTCTTTTGGTGTGAGGTGTGACCTTCCTTATGGGGTGGTGTCTTACACTATGCTGTAGTGACAACACTGCGTGATGACCTGACATGCATATCGGGAGGTTTATTTTCGGGGGGTTTACCCTATACCAGCGTTGCCCAACCTGTGGACCACGAGCTTCCATCCTCTGGACCGCTCCTCAGCTCCTTCGATTGCTACTCTTTCTGGAATTTCTCTGTTGTGCCAACCCCATGACAGTGTAGGCCAGCTCCTCTAGAAAACGAAAGGTAGATGGTGAAAATCGCAAATTCACAGACAGCTGGATGGAGGACTATCCTTTTATCTTGCCTAATGTACTCAATCCAAAACCTCTCTGTTTGCTTTGCCAAGTTACATTGAAGACGTTCAAAGTGGCGATCTCCTCCACTTCCCAACTTTTAAATTAAATTAAAGTCATTGGACAATGATACGATGAAATCTCTGAATGTGAATGACAACTGTTGAGTCATGTCGCACTCTTTCTGAAAGCATTGCATTGTCCAATGACTTTAATTTTTGCTTCGGTGAGTTTCGCAACAATAAAGAGGTGTTCTAGCGGATCAAAAATTCATTTGTAGCCTCTCTGCGAGGGGCTTGGGCTAAAGATGCCTTTGTTCAAGTCCAAGTCTACAGCTCGCTGATCTGCAGCTGGAGCTACCTGACATTCATGCAGACGAAGAATTGAAGCCAGGTATACACAGGTCACTAGAAAATCTAGTAAAGTTCTGGGGTGAGCTGGTGCCTTCTGCCATGTACCCACAGCTAAAGGAGTTGGCCATCATGGTTCTCTCACTATTGTTGGGTCCACCTACATATGTGAAAGTGCATTTTCAACTTCTGAAGAACCGGTATCGCGCTTCTCTGACCAAGGACCTTACGTCAATACCTTTGCATCGCTCTGACCGCACTCACACCAGACATTAAGAAAATTGTGAAGGATTGCAACTGCCAGATGTCACATTGAGACTTTACTTCCAGACTACCAGACCTCTCTGATTTTTGGTTAGTGGACTTTCTCATGTAGTAGTTGAGCAGCCCTTCCCTATACCCTCCCCCCTTCCCCAAATTAGCCCCCAATATCCCTGTCATTATCACTGAATGGGAAGCCCATGGGTGGGGTCACATCACAGTGGACTGTCAGTGGTGATACAGAAATTTTTCATTAGGGGGTAGTTCCCTAGTTCTTACCCCCCCCCTCCCCCCGTCCCTCACCTACCACCACTATCTTTCATATAGCCTTTTTCATTTTTTGTCTGGGGTAAAAGCTTGAATATCTATTTCACTGGCCCCAATAATGATTAATGGTGGTGCCCTAAAAATAAAAAAATATAATATGACCTTGGCAATGGGGTGGGGGGGGGCAGTCGCCCCCCCCCCCCCTGCATGCATCACTACATGGATATTGTTGAGTTTAGAGGAGTGTTGCTCTGTCAGCAGCAGTAGCAATGATTAATGGTGGTGCCCTAAAAATAAAAAAATATAATATGACCTTGGCAATGGGGTGGGGGGGGGGCAGTCGCCCCCCCCCCCCCTGCATCCATCACTCATGGATATTGTTGAGTATAGAGGAGTGTTGCTCTATCAGCAGCAGTAGCTGCCACGATGCGACGCTGAGGTTTTTCTCGATCATCAGTAGTAAGGAGAGCGTGGTTAACTGGCTCCATGAACAGGGCATTTTGCAAGATCGAGTTTTAAAATATGCTTGGGACAATGGCTGAGCCAAGGCACCTTATTGAGGTCTAGTGACATGGCTGCAACCCCATGAACAGGTTTGAGACATTCATTTGGGACATCAAGTCTAGGTTCATCGATTAATCTAACGTGAAACCTTTGACAATAGTCAAATGACGAAATTTGCCCACCTAAATGGTTTTGGATAATAAAATCATGCTAAAAAAAGGATTTATTTTATACCATGCAAACCGTGATCACACTTCACATCCAAAGTGCTGTGGTATGTCACAGACCATATGTAGGTCATACCTCATACGATTACCTATACAAGCATAACGGGATTCAGTTCTCTAATTGGTGATATACAACTTCCTCCTGATTTAATGGAAATCCAATATAATGAAGTGATTCTGACAGCTTCGTCAACTTTGTTATGACGAGAGTTGACAGTAGTTGTTTTTTTTGTGTTAATTTTAATTATTGGAGTTAGTTTTTTGTTCTAATTGAATGATTGTTATTCTATGCCAAAACAGCCACGATGTATTGCAAGTTAATGTGGCAATTTTTCTATGAGCACGTACTTTGGCATTGGGTGCTAGACTCAGAGGTGATGGGTGTTTCCTGTATCTTCATCACTTTAGCATTATTTTCAAGTTTTCCTTCATTTGCATTAAGTGTACTCAAGCAAAGCTCGATTGAGAAATCTTAGGTGAGCATTTGAGAGTTTGAATGTTGTGTAGTGACATGATGAAGTTCCTGTGAAGGGAAGGGATTCCCACTACTGCACTGGGCTTCTCTAGTTTGTTCTCTATTTTTTCTGATGTTTTGATGGTGATGAGTTTTTCTTGATGAAAGTTCCACTTGTTTCCCCAGGCGACTCATGGATGATCGAGAAGCTGATTTTCTGACTGAAGACATTGGGTCAGTGTTATTTACTTGGTTGGGTATTCCTCTTTGGATGGAATAATTTATGCTTGGTTTCCATCTTGTGTCTCACATGTAGTGGTGCCTTGAAGAGTTACTTGGACTCATTGACTGATGGTGCTTTGGAAGCAGCCATTGCAAACGAAGATCCCACCTTGGGTCTCCTTGCAGAGGAACCTGAAGCATGGTCTCGCACAGTTGACAAAAAGGTTCTTGTTCTGTTCCTAATGAGTCAACTCCATATGCTTATCGCCATCTCTAACCTAACCTCTATTTTATTTTTTTTTTAAGCTCATCCTCAAAGGCCTGAGTGATGGAGAGATCAAGCGACAGGAGCACATCTATGAGTTCCTTATCACCGAAAAGCATCACTGTGAGACCCTGCAGCTTATGCACAAGGTGAACCAACTGATGGTATTGAATCTCGTGTAAATGGAACAAGTCATTGACGATGTCAGAATCTCCCTTCTTGCAGTTGTTTTCCCATGGGATGCAAGAAGGTCTGCGCTGTGGGTCTGATATCATCCACCGCCTCTTCCCCTGCCTGGAGGAGCTCATTGAATGGCATGCTGGGTTCCTGAGGCGACTCCGTGCCCGGCAGAAGGAAGCTCCCATCGTCCCCACCATTGGGGATATCCTGGTGGAGCGTTTCTCCTCTCCATTTGGGAAGCAGCTCCAGACGTTTTATGGGAATTTCTGCAGTCAGCACCAAGATGCTGTCTCAATATACAAGCAGATTCTCAAGAGCGATAGGAGGTCTGTCTTAACTCGTGTCTGGACTGTTGCAGTTTTCTGACTTCTGCACTAGTGCTGCCTGTTCTGTTGAATGGGCTTTTAGCATCTAGTCCTACAATTTAAAATCTTTTCGGATCAGGTTTGGACTGCTGGTGAAGAGATGGAGTGAGCATCCCCTGTGCAAGAAGAAGGGAATCCCCGAGTGCATCCTGTTTGTGACGCAGAGAATCACCAAGTATCCCCTGCTTATTGAGCCACTGATCAAGACGTCCAAGTTTGCCCCTTCCAGTGTTCCACAGGAGCAGGACTCTCTCTACCGTTCCCTGGCCATGGTCAAGGTCTGTCCTTTTCTTCTGTTTCTGGTGAACCCATGGCCTGAAATGTAATATTTACTGCAAGGCACCCTTGTGAGAAAAATTGCAGATTTTTTTGCAATTAGTCCCAACAAAAAATTTCCACTTCTGTCCTGTCAACTGATCTGGTTTTTTTCCACGAGAGAGGGGCCTAAGATGTAGTGCATGTTATGTGGAATTATCTGATTTTACTGCAGAATTATGCCAGTCTAAATGTGGCATCAGCAAAATGGAAAAATCCCCTGTTATGTAAAAGCAACAGATATTGGGAAGATAGAAAGTTGCAGAATGGGGAGATCCCTGTATGATTGGGTATAGAAAGAATAAAAGATTATAAGTAATTTAGAATTAGGTGAAGAATACTTTAGGAAATTCAAGAGGATCATGTATTACATGTACATGGCTATGCACAAGGTGAATGGGGTCTAGATTTCTGCCTTTCTGCTCCTCAATATTAAATACTGGTGGTCCTGTTCTTATCCTGCATTATTATCATAATGTTAAAGCTTCAATTGTATTGTAGTCAACCCATGAAGAGACTATACAATTTGAAAGTAAGGTTTTGGGCTTGACTTGGCTTGCCAGAGCAACATGGGAGGTAACATTCTCAAGAAATTGTTCATGAAATTTAAAAAATAAAATTTAATGGTAATTGTTGCTGTATGGAGATGTTCCAATTACTGAGGTACTGTTTTCATGAGCAGGGATCTAAAAAAATGTTTTTATGGGAAAGTTGCCAGGAGCATGAACAGTGACTGCTTGATTGCTTCCATGCAGTCTTTTTGTATATCTTGATCATTCTCTCTTTTAGGATATTCTGGTGCGAGTAAATGGACAGGTTGCAGAACGCGAACGGGCCTCTCGTCTTCGTGAAATCTACGACCACATTGACTCGAAGTCCTTCACATTCTACAATGGCCATAAGTTCAGAAAGTCTGAACTCTATGCAAGAAATCGCAAGCTCAAGTCAGGATATTTCTTCTATCTTTCTTTTTTATTTGGCAGTGAATGTACAATTGGGACTTTCTGCTGTGCGTGCAGGTTCGAAGGAATTGGAACGTTGGTGCCACGAAGCGGAAAGGTGACTGACATCACCGTGATTGTTCTCTCGGATGTTCTCATCTTCCTTCAAGAGGCCAGCAATGGGAAACTCCATTTTTACTCCCAGGACAACCGGGTGAGTAGCCTTTCTGCATGTACATTGGGATATTATTTCATTTGTGATGTCAATTGTGTTGCTGTGAAGCAGAGAGGAGTGATGACTTTGCATAAGATGCTGGTGAGAGAGAAAGCCGGTCAAGACAATTCCCTGTATCTCATTGCCTCAAACCCTCCCGAAGTGCCTGAGATGGTGGAGATCATTTGCCAGACTCCCAAAGACAGAAAGCTCTGGATCAATTCCATTCGGTAAGATGTGTCTATATTCAGCACTGGTGTGTCTCTGTTCATTGTATTTTTGGTAAGACTCATACCATTTTATCTGTTCATTTGTCCCACAGGGAAACAATTGAGGAATATGGTGGAGACGAAGATGATGGGCGGATGGAAAGCGGAGAAGAGGAAGAGGAGGAGGAAGCCCTTCATCGGAGGCATGACATGCTCTTTGGTATGGCACGCGAATGTGACTATGAGCTGGCCCATCTTCTGGAAGAGAAGATGGCTCTCCTGTATGAAGCATTTGACATCCACGAGAGTCCTGGTGATTATGTGGCTCTCATGAACTCCCTTTCCTCAACCGATGTGGATCCTGCTGCTCTCCGCCACCTGCTCTTCTCCACTGTCCACGTATGAATGAGTCTCTTCATTAACTGGCTTCTGTGGTAGAATGCAGTCTCCTATGTTGATGTTCTTGATGCTGAACAATGCAGGAATGCGTGGAGATCCTGAAAGGACTTCGAGATACAGGATCACTGAGCAGCCTCAACCGGAGTGCAAGTTCAGTGGGAGAGAGGAAAAGCTCTCTTTATGTGACTCCTGTCCTGCCAAAACGTGCAGAAACCTTTGGTGGATTTGATGTACCACCTGGGAAGGCTGAAGTCAAAGGCAAGTATTCTTTTGTCCTGTAGAACCCTTATCATTTTCCTTGTTGCTCCTCCTCATCCTCTTTTAATTGCATCTTACAGGAGAGATTAAGAAGCGTGTAGATAGTGCAGGTCTTCTTTATGGTATCAAGGTAATGCATTACCATGTCATAAATAAAGATGATGGAAAAAATTTGAACAAATTTCTATTCTTCCTGATTTCTGTTGTGTTTTAGGAAGGGGATGGAGGAGATGGGAACAGCAAGGCCTTGAAACTTGTTGGGAAGCTGTCTACCCTTCGTTGTCTCATGGAAGCCCAAGTCACCTCCATTGAATGGTAACATTGCATTAAGGCATACTGCTTCCTTGAAAATAAGCATTTCCATGGCGATATCTCTGGTACGGTGCATTGATTCTGGATCATGCCTATCCCAGCCTGAGGACCGAATTGATGGGTGCATGCACCCGCCTGTCGAAGGTCCATTCTGACTTTGGAAAGGGCAACAAGAGCCTGTTTCAACACAGTCAGAGATTGGAAGAGCTGCGCAACCTCCAGGATCGCCTTGGTCGGGAGCGGAAGGAGTGGGAAGCCGAGAAGAAAGCCAAAGAGCAGGAGATTGAAGAGAAGGAAAAGCAGCTTCAGGCCCTTCAGGTATTCTGTGCTGGCCCTTCAACTGGGATAGAGCTTCCTGAATTCTTCATGATAACCATTTGGCTGAATTATAAATTATTTAAAAACCCTTTCATTATCTGTCACCTTAGGAAGAACTGAAGAAGGAGCAAGAAGATGTCATAAACCAGAGGGAACTCCTCTTTCGAAGGGTTGAAGCATTGAAGGCACAAGGCATTGTGCTTTCATCCAATTTCCAGATCGTCCCATCGCCAATCAGTGGAGTTGTGCCCCATTTAGATGGTCACGACTCGGGTCCTGTGTCCAGCCCGGTGTCTCCCAGTATAAAGAAGAAATTCAGCAATCCAGGCATAAGTGGGAGTGTTAGCACTTCTTCGCTCCCTCAGCATCTCATCAGTGCTACTAACCAAAAGAAGGTTGCAGAATCCACCATCAAGCAGCAGCTGCCTTTGAAGCTCTCCAGCACGTTTGGATCGTCGACTCCTGGCTCGAGTCCGAGTCAGACTCAGAGTATGACCAGTTTGAATCCAAGTGCTCCTGGAGTGCAACAGATGCTTCCCTTCAAGCTGAGAGAAGACCCTCGAGCACCTGCCAATGTGGGTAGGAACGCGTTTGCATATCAGCGGATGAACAACCCGGTTCACATGCGGTCGGGGAGCACCCCTGCATCCGAGATGGGTACTCCTCCTCCCCCTGCTGGGAGAGGTACGAACATTCAGCGCAGCGGTTCCAGCCCAAGTCCAAGTCAGAGTCAAAGCTCGGTGCAGCAACTGCAACAGCGTTCCCAGTCTCATCAAGACAAGGTCACTGATCCAGACACCAATCAAGAAATTTACTTCTTCTAAAGTTGATGCCTATGCACCATTCTTCAAGATCCAGGAGCTCTTTTTGGGTCCATCACCTCAGTGATTGAAAAGACTTTTTTCTGCCCATCCTCTCATTGTCAATGTGATTCCCTATATCAATTACAGTGACCTCTTGTTCATCTGGACCTTAGGCCTCTGGATACAGGCTGAAGCAAGTGACCTCTGTTCTCTGGTTCTAAAGGAAAAATCTTTGCAGAATTTATTTTGCAATATGCATGAATGGTTTTGCTTCATTTTTTACTTTTACCTGTCACCATTAAATAGTAGTGAAGGAAGTAAATGGAGTGAGAAAGACAAAACGGGCCAATCTAAATACCAAAGGTTATGTCTTATGCAGACATAGGATAGGAGAGAGCATGTAGAGATGGCAATAAAGTTTAATTTTCTTGAAAAAAAATACCAGAATTTGGGAGAAGGCCCATACCTCCCTAGAGCATGCTTCGTTTACAAGAGAAGGAGGAGAGGGGTGAAGGTATTCTTTTCTATATCTTGGGGTCCTCTTGCCATCTCAATCTTGCATTCTGTTTACTTTCCTTAGTATAGAAATATTTTCACCAGAGGTCCAGACCAACCAGAGGTCACTGTGTTGTGCCGTCCTCCGAGTCGACAATTGTGTGAGATCGCTTTAAGACATGAAGTGTCCTCTATCTATTGAGTGCATGCTGGCCTTTAAATCCTGTGATACTCTGTGAAGCTCAATCCACGATCACGTCTTTCCTCGTCCCCCGTCAGTTTTTGCCGCATCTCTTCCGTCCGTGTCTTGCCTCCCTCCGATCCTGCTGCCTTTAGATATTAACGAATGATCTTGTCAAAGATTTTTTCAGCCCGAGACGATCGATACGATGTGTCTTCCATCGTCTTCCAAAATGAGAGGAGTGACGACTCTTCTTGACCTTTTTAAGTGACCACTCGGGACAAACGGTGAGACGAAGCGTCCCGAACCCGCCGTATCGAAGTGCCAGAGAGAGGGGGGACTGCATGTCCAGTGATTCCCCCCTTTCGTCATCTGTACTTTTTATCCCATTCCTGACCCAATCATGCATGATTGTTTCGATTATCATTATTCTTATTATTGTGGGGTGTGGCTGTTCCTCCTTGAGATTTTTATTCTCGATCAAAGTGATGAAAAGGGTGAATTCCATACTGGGCCTGTCATTCAAAGTCCTTGAAGCAATTTCAGATGATATTCTTGGGCCATTGCAGCACTTTTGCTGGGCATCCAGAGGGCAACTGATGGATGCTGGCATATATGTTCTTAAATGCAAAACATTAAAAAATTGGACCCGACAGGTACATGTACTCCAGTGGGTGTTTTTTATGATGTACCTGCAGTACTGTGGATGGCCCAATTAAAAATAAATTTAATGAATTCTTTAAGTTATGGCCACAGAAGACCTAAGACATTGAACTTTTCTTGACAGTTCCATGGAAAGACCCGTGAAAGGCATAGGAAAAGAACGGGAAGGGTATTCATTGCCTGCCAAGATGACCTTAGCTTTTGCCAATTTGCCTTTTCTCTTCAGCTACTCCCTCATGTCCCTCATGGGCTGGAATATGAATTTCTGAGCCATGGAAAATTTTTTTAACCCTTTCCACCTTGTGGGAGTGGCTGAATCAGGAAGAGTGAAACCAAGATCTTCAAATGAGATCGAGTCTGAGCCAAAGAGAGTCAATTTTCATGGGAGATAATTAACCACCTCCCCAGTCATCAGGCCTTAAGTGTGATGTAATTTCAGAGAAATCATGGAGTTGAAATTCCTTATGGCGAAGCAAAGCAACTACAGATTCCAGAAAAGTTCCATGTCTGAGACCTTCCGTGCTTATTTCTTTTGAAAAGGAAATAATCACAATGTCAATGCATTGGCAATTTGGTCAATGTACGACATAGCTGGAAAATTGTAACCCGGTCAGTAGGTGGCCTTTCCATTCAGAGTTCCTTCACCCCCCAACAGACTACTCAAAAAACACATTGAGGAAAAGTGAATTGCACTCAAAGCAGATTATTCAGCAAGTTCTAAGCCTCAGTTGCATTTAGAGATTTGCCACTTCAACTGAGCTAATATTGAACTGGTGGGTTTTCTGGGCTTATTTGTGACACATGCTTTCCTGTGAACGCATGTTATTTTGTGCAAAGAGGAACACAAAATAATGTGAGTTCTATTTGGTGCTCTATTTTACTTTGGTATGAGGCATCTGTTGCTTAATTAGTAATGCAAAAGAATATATGATTAATAGGAATAACTGATAAACTCAACTGAGCTACTACTTTAAAATAAAAACTTACCCATGGTGTAGACCCAAAGTTCCATAAATTCTTTCATCCCCCTATTCCAAGAATGTGCAATACAGTCTGCAACACGGCAGACAAGTATAGTTGTGAATAATAATAATGTTGTGGACTATTGACAGCCTGACTGTTTTGAGACTCCGAGAAGAGTCCTTGAGTCACATAGTCTTGAAAACACCTACACAGTCCATTAGCAGTTTGATTTAACT